AGCTGAGCTTTCTATTCATGGGAGTCGAGTAATATCTCTCGATAAAATTCTGTTTTCAATTTAAACGATAATTAATGATATAATCAATTGAAAATCTCGATTTACCAAACTAATTCTTGTTACGAAATTTGAAATTTGTTCATAGGAGAGTTGCAATAATTATAGGAAAGGCGTATAAGTCGTAAAAGTCATTCGTAGATGCTTATAGTTGCGCATGCGACAGAACCGTTTGAAGCTATCTTGAAACGTTGCTTATATCTATCTGTCATTTCGTAACACGACAGGTGTAATAATGACTGAGACAGTCAGAAGTAGCTATGAAACGGACGCGATTTTTATAGGAGAGAACTGTTAAGAGCTTGTCCTGAAATGTTGCGTGATGACTTAATGCTGTTGAATAATTAAAAAGAGAAAGAAATATTTTGCGCTATAAATACTGTCTCCGTGATGTTATCGACTTTTAAGAAATTTAAGATTTCGTTCACAAATATTAGCATGAAAGATCGTGACACTTGATTTATATATATGATTTATATAATGTAGGTAATTTATAAATGCGCCAATTCCGACCTATGTCAATTTAATCGATAAATTAACAGCTGTAGAAATGGATGTAAGTCAAACAGATAACAGATGTTACCTCAATATTATGTACTCCAGTTTATTATAATTCCATTATTCACCTTCGAACGATGAATAATCTCTTTTAGGGGTTGATTGAAAAACTACTAGCATTATAATTTCAAATTACTATAATTATTACAATTTGCTGTAATTATCAAGGCTACAGCTAATTGCAGAGATCTGACATCGAGGCACTAATTTTCGTATTGCCTTCCACACCTGCGTGCTTCAGGTGCAAAAAATTGGTCGGCCAACCACCCGAGTATCCAAGAACGAATTCTTTGGACTCACTGCGTATAGTAGTTTAACGTGACGTGGTTCCAACTGAGTGATCTCTTAAGGTTACAAGAGATTCCTCGGGTCGGGGATTCGAGCTCGGCAAGAAAGGAGCCGTTATTTTTTGAGAATTCTCCGTCTTTTCCCAGGTCACGGTCGGATGCAACCTCGCGGATATTCTCGGGATCTTTTTATCTCGAGATGAACTGACATTCACAGCGTCGAATTTATGTTGTTTATCCTCAACGGCATGCTTTTCTCGCAATACTGTTATTCAAATTATGTTATTCAATGTTATTCAAATTAACATGCAAAACTAAAGACCGAAGCAATTAAGAAAGTAAATCATGTCCGATTATGGCGTACGTAAGCAGTATTGCAATACTCTAAATGCGATATCTACATGTACTTAAACAAATAGATTTTATTATATATGATGGAGATACAGCAGAGCTATATTGTAAGTCGCATTTTCAATAAAGGGCCACAAGACGCACAATTAATATCGCAAATCGCAACGCGCATTTATATCGTTACACGAATGTTTCTATGTTCGCCAATTTAAATTCCGCTTAGCGCGCCTCTTGGCCCGCGGGCATATCTGATAAGTCCACGCGCATAATTTAAGGAGAGGGCAACCCTCTCCACTCCTTTCCTCTCTTGCGTTCTCACAGTGACGCGCGAATAATTTAATAACACATGCTCCCGAGTCGGAGCGCATCTTTGCGAGCCCTCTTGCACTACTCGTCGACGCACGACGAGTCCGCAAGGGGGCTTAACATCGTGTTTGTGGAAGGTATAATTGATGCAGGACCAGCCGGGAGATCGCGTTTGCCCTTAAGAGTTTGGAACTGGGTGGAGAAAATATAGGTTGTCTTCGTTACCCAGCCTTTGGTGCGCGCCCGGTCGCCCGCGGTGCAACACGAGGATGATATATTCGCTGCAACTGCAGCTGCGCTGCGCCATGCCATGCCATGCCATGCCGCGCCACGCCGCGTCGGTCGTTTCATGAGATTTCGAAACTGCCTGCTCGCCTCGCGAAAACAATGAAGCATCTTCCTTTATTATATAGCAGTGGGTGAACGCGTTTTTTTAATGTATGTGCAATCCGTGCTGAATGTATTGAGTGAGAGAGAGAGAGAGAGAGAGAGAGAGAGAGAGAGAGAGAGAGAGAGAGAGAGAGAG